CTGCTGAACAGACTGGTGCAATATATTTGGGCAAATATTTGGGATAGATTTAAGTTTTCTACAGAAAACCTGTTGATTAGTTTACGGATTAAATTTACTAACAAAACCAAAAACCAATCAACCAAACAAAAAAGCGGCGTAATAGTTTATAGCTGATTTGAATTATTTTAAAGTGGAAGGCGATGACGGACAAGACTATTCTGTACAAAACTACTGTAGATAAGTAATGTAGACAAAGTTCAGAGAACACTCACTCGTGGTAGTATCTGCAAACAGTCATAGAGATCAAGCAAACATTTTCTTGAGAGGAAAGAGTAAGTTCAGCTACAGTTAAAGATGAAGAAATATCAGCACACAGAATGAGAGCGTCAACACATTGAAAGGTCTAGAATTGGCAACTAGAAAGATCATTAGAGCAGCTGAACAAAAGTAGCAGTGGTGGTTTTGTATTCTTCAAGAAAAATAAAATAGCACAGACATAAGCTTGAAAACACAGACTGTATCTGAAAAGAAATCTGTCTGAAAAATAGGTGATGCTAACACTAGAGAGCAAAACAAACAAAAGCTGAAAAGGAAAAAAACCTTGTAATCAAGTCCCCTTATCAGATCTCCTTCCTTCCAGATCAAATGAGACTCCGTTTTTGCCAGCATAAAATTCAAAGCTACAGATCCAGCTACATTCTGCCATTAGTGTCCTGTGCCATGAAGGCTAAAACCTCTAATTAAAGCCTCAAGGAGAGCCCCACCCTTCCGTGTAACGGAGAAGACTGTTGCATCTCTCAGTATCAGATGGCAGGAGACTCAAGATGACAATCAAGTGTCAATTTATCCTGGAGAAAGCTTCTTTGACCCAGAAGGCTAGGCATTTTTAAAAAATGAAAGTTTAAACGGTAAAACATCCTGAAGAATACAACAAAATCTGAAGGAAGACACTAATCTGATTTGCATGTCTCTGAACCGAGTGGAGAAAGGAGCATTATTCCTGCCAAAAGCAGAGCAAGTACATACCTGTGTGTATGTGTGTGTGTCTCTATAATAGTTCTCAAATGATAAAATTCAATTTCAATGCACAGAGAGCACGACAGTGACTGTACGGAAGCAGCAGTACATACATCTATCAGAACAAAAAGCAACGTACCCCGCATATGCTTGTATCCAGAGAAAATATTCGCAAATATGACAACATCCCTGTAATCATCTGGCAACCCAGCAATCATCCAACTTTTGTCCCTTCTTTCTATCCCGACAGCTACTCTCAGGAGCTCTTTGTCTCCCATTTTGATTATTGTAATTATCTCCTTCCTCGCCTCCTTAGCAGCAAAATTCCTCTTCTCCTCCAACATGCTATACAAACACAGCTACTAAGTTATTTATTTTAGCTTTTTGGTCTAATTTTCACTATCTTCCAGCCATAAAGGTGAAGCTTCTTCCTGTTGGCAAGACCACGTTGTACTAACCATCTGGGACTCCTCTTTCATCTAGACCAGTAGTTTGTAATTTAATCATCTTCCTTACCTGCTCCACATTCACCTGGGTTTGTCTAGAGCAGACCTGATCTTTAGTATTTAATCGAGGTCGTGAACTGCCAGAAGACTGCATCTGGTGAAATAGCTCATCAAGATACTATTAAATTATATCTGCCAAATTAGGAAATGAATGAGAGACTGATGGCCCTCACTACAAGAAGGATGTTGAGGTGCTGGAGCGTGTCCAGAGAAGGGCAACGAAGCTGGTGAGGGGTCTGGAGCACAAGTCTTATGAGGAGCGGCTGAGGGAACTGGGGTTGTTTAGTGTGGAGAAGAGGAGGCTGAGAGGAGACCTTATCGCTCTCTACAACTACCTGAAAGGGGGTTGTGGCGACGAGGGTGTTGGCCTCTTCTCCCAAGTAACTAGCGATAGGACAAGAGGAAATGGCTTCAAGTTGCGCCAGGGGAGGGTTAGATTGGATATTAGGAAAAATTTCTTCACTGAGAGGGTGGTCAGGCATTGGAACAGGCTGCCCAGGGAGGGGGGGGAGTCGCCATCTCTGGAAGTGTTCAAGAAACGTGTGGATGTGGCACTTCAGGACATGGTCTAGGGGACATGGTGGCGCTGGCTTAATGGTTGGACTTGATGATCTTGAAGGTCCTTTCCAACCTAGTGTTTCTGTGATTCTGTGATTCTGTGACATTTATAATTTATTAAGCCAAACTGTCTCAGCTGGTAAGGAGCAGCGGATGTCCCTTATCAGCTTGCAAACCATACAAACCCCAGGATTAGTGTAAAGGTGTTCTGGAAGACTGTAGTCCAGCGTAGAAGCATGATTTTGGGAAGCAATTCTGCACTCATGCCCCCATTGCAACAAACAGTTGGACAGTGGAATAACAACCTTGGCTATTATGACAGAGCTATCATGAAAAACACAGAGCTCGATCCCCCCCCGCCTCTGGTTTGACTCCCAGTGATGGAGAAACTGAAGTTCACTATATAATTATTAGTTTCCACACTTCAACAGTTTTGAGCTGTCACGGTGAGCTCATACTATTTGCTTGCTGTTCCTTTCTTTTTAATGGAGGAGGTGGCTGCCAGGATGTGTAACCTGAGTTTTCAGAAATACAACCTGAATTACCATCCACTCAGACACTGTAACTGCTTTGGCTCTAAATTCTAGGATGTTGAGATGAAGTCCCACAGCTTTCACAGTCAGACATTTCACACCTCCCTGAGGGCCAACTGGACATTTCTGCCTGTGCCTGTGACCAGCATCTGAGAAGGTGGGATACAGGAGTCAGTATTCTCTTTCCTTGGGCTTTTTAGGTTCTCGCCACAGTTATCAACAATGTGAGGACACGATGAAATGACAAAATATTCTTGTCCATCTGGTGCCTCTATAGGAAGCATATGGACTTGAGCCAAAGTTATAGGAGCCACAGCTGAAGGCTGGCATTGGATGTCATGTGCATGCTGACATACGGTCTAATGCTCCAAGGCATGTTCATACCATGGTAGCAGGATTAGATTTTATCTCATGTAGAAGCAATCATAGTGACAGGACCCTGTCTTTGGGCAAGTCCTCACTAGCCTGGAACTGGTCATAGTTCTTACGAACTCCATTGTTTGCGACTGCAACTTTGGCTCTTTGTTTTAATACACTTCTTTAGGAGAATCATCTGGACGAACGGCAAGCATATTCTAGGCTCGTTGCCACTGCCTGCCTCTGATCAGCTGGTCACCTACATCAGGACAGATGTGCATGCCCGGTCTCCTCAGATGCACTGCTCCTGCAGCGAGGAGTCTTAAACGCTGCAGAGTCTGCGTGCCAGAGAGACTGAGCTTTGGTCCCACTTCTGAAATACTTCCTACGGGACAAGTAGATGACTATGGAGAAATAGGCCACGTGTAACTCAAGGACCATAAAGTGGGCTTCACTGCAGACACAGGAAGATGGAAGAAAGCATCGCCATCCTACGTCTAATGTGACGTTTCTTCAGCTTCCCCAGACCCCCAGAAAGACACAGAGCCTCTTGACCTTCAGAATAAAGAATACCAGGAACAGCAGCCCCTCCTGGGTTTTGATGCAGCTGCTGCAATGAAGCTGCTTCGCTCCCTCAGTACTCAGCAGGGAGACGCCTCCGGTGGAAGGAGGTGGAAGGCATCTCTTGCAGAACTGCCTAGTTATTCCAGTACTCGCTTTGCAATAAAGGTCGGGATTTAAGACCCTTCTGAGTTGGCATCTGAACCCACTGCTGCCATTATGCAGGACAGTGCCAAAACCCCCATTAGTGTGGGACAGGGCTGCTCCCAGTTCCTCCTTTTGAAACTGGTCATACAGGGTGCAAGAGCAGCAGTGCCAGAGAGAGAAAGAGTGAGAGCGCAAGCAAGCTTGCTTCCCATCTTGTTTATGAATTTTCTTTCGTTTCACTGAAAAAAACACCATACTCTCAAGCAGACTCTAAACAGATTTCCATAGTACAGTAGTACAGATTGTCTTAACTGAGTAAAGCATTTCCACCTGTATTTTGATGTTGAGTTGAAGGCTGTGCAGAACTGCCGGACATTTATTTAGCATATAAACTAAACTGCAAATAACAAATCAAGATAATGAATGATGGCTTAAGATGCAGAGGACTTCGTTCTAGGAATAAAGCAATATTCCTAGCTGTTTGTTTTTAAAAAGGCAATATATGCAAATACAAAACATAACCTAGAGGGCCTTTAATCCTTTCAAGACAGGATTGTACTGCAATACCTTGTTCTGTGCAGAACTGAGAGCACTAAAACAACACTTTTGAATACTGCTGCAGCGTACAAAGCATGGTACCTCTGTGCGCACACGCGCACAAAGCAGCTGGATAAGAACTTCAGGAGCACACGTAGAATGGTGTCTAAGAAAGATGCTCACATATTCACCTGATATACTGCAGCACCTGGTGTAATCCAGCCCACTCTCACAGTGCTTTCATCTCATCTATTTATCTCCCGCCAAGAGGAAACGGGATACACGGGTACTTCCGCTTTGCCACACTGACCACTTTCATGTTCTTATATATAAATTTATAACTGGGTTACTCAGCTTTCATACAGTGGCCAAAATCAAACCATGTTCATTTTTAGGTTTTACCACATATGCAACTACACTTGATCTTGCAAATACGCAGTAAAAAGACGTGATTCAACTATGCCAAGTCACTAACAATTTTGAGTACAAGTTTATGAGCCTGTAAAATCTTAAGATTTCATCTTGGCTTTTTACTTTTGCAAATGAATCTGCTCATTCTGTCCTATGCTGTTTTTTAATAGCTATCTAAAGACTGTAGCTGGCAATTTTACTATTCAATTATGTACTGGAATCCACTTCACTAGGAGAATCTGAACTTTTTCCCATACTGGTAACAGCTATTAATTCCAAATGGCATCAAACCGCACATTTCAAAATATGTATTGGTACCACCTACTATCATACCCATAAGTCTGTTACTTATTTAAGCCTTACGAAGCCTCATTAAACAGTTCAGTTCCTTTTGAGTGAATCACTTTGACAATATCATGCATGAGATGAAACGGAAATAAAAAGTCAAAGTTCACATTTGACCAGTTAGCTTTGAAGGCAATTTTGAAGCTACAATCTGCCTTGTAACAACTATTTACTAACTTCTCTCAGTCCAAAAGGCTTAAAAATGCATCACTGACATTATTTAATACCTCTTGGAGCAAGATAGCATCTGTAATCCCTGTGGTACAAGACTGTTTACTTCTCTACAATTAGTGGATGCCTCCAAGATACATCATTAATATGAACATTGCACTGGGGATGCACCTGCAACTCATCTACTTGAGAATGAGAGGTTTTTTGCTTTTGCAGTATCTGTACACACTCATCTGCTGCTGAAAGGGCAGCGCATCCCTCCTGCACCTTGGATTCCTTTCAGCCGGAGTTCAAGGACATACAATCCTCGGAAGAACTCGGGATGGCATGATGTGCATGCGCATAAGGAGTGAATACCTTTAAGACCTCCCACCAGTTCTTTTTTCTTTTTGAGTGACATCCAAGTGCCTGTTCCACTGCAGGCCCTCCTAGAGCAGAGGCCACACGAGAGAGGCAGAGACACAACTCCCAAGAGAACAGAGACCAAAAAATCTAAATTCTCAAATACGGTGTTTGATCCTGACATGGTATTTGCCTGGTTAGTTTTACTAGGAGGCCTGCGGAGGGCACTTCTACTTTTGGGGCAGAAATGGAGATTGAAGAGTAGACGGGGATTAGCAGAAACAAGGAGCTTGCCATCTACATCCAGATCCTCTTTCTTTACGTAAGAGGAAATCAGGAAGGAATGCCCCAAACCCAGCCTATCTTCAGTGAAAGAGTCAGCTCTGCTTCACCTTCATCTTCCTCTCCAGAGATAAGAGAAGCAGACTTGGTAACAATTCCAACTCTGACATTTTGGTCTTAAATCAGCGAGACATTTAAACATCTGCTTTGTGAATAGAATTATGTTGTTACGGTTGCCCAGAACTTTGACTTGAAATGTAAGAACCTCTTTTCTAACAAGAAAACCTTCACGAAAGATACATAATATTCAGGAAGGTGGCAGGATCCAAGAACAAAATTTAAGATCCCTACTGCTGCAGTAAATATCTGATTGCTTCAGACTGTGCAACTGGTGTATGCAACATTAGTGATTTAACATGACTGCAAGGACAGCCTACCTGGCTGCTGTGCTTGCGCCAGTAAGTATAAAACTGGCCCCTTCCTACCTGGCTGAGGAATTCAGATGTGTAAATGCCAGGTGGAGCCTACTGTAGAGAACAAGTCTCTTCCTAGATCCAATTAAACTTTATTCCCTTTCTTTGTTTTGATGTAAACACATTTTATTCTTGCTTCGTGTTCCTATGGTGATTCGAAGCGAAGGCAGTAATCTGATTGAAAACACAACTTGTAATATTGCCTGTTCCACGCTGAGAAAGATGAAAGCTCTTAAGTTCTTGAAGGCATCTCTTAAATATAATTAGTAAATCTATTCTGGCCAGGACAGCAAGATTTCATCTCCAAGTAGCAAAGGTCAGTTTACAGCAGGTGGGGAACAGAGATAAGGAGACAGTGACGTTGACTGCAGAGGGAGTTTGTGACAGAAGATAGCTGGAAACAAATGGGAAACCATAAAACAAAAATCCATCCTTGGAGCGCAAATATGTGAATGGAAAAATAAAGTATAATCCCTCTAAGAGGCACGGTTCTTGCCAAATATCCATAATTTTGGATGGCTGCAAGAGGCTGTAATTTGGGTGGGAACAAAAAGCTTGTATAACCTTGAGCCTGAGCTGAGCTCAATCTATTGCGCCTGCACGATTTCCCGCAAACAAATCCATCATCTGCCCTGCTGGAGCACAAGGCTGAGAAGCACAGTGGATAGCCAAGACAGTTATTAAGACAGAAGTTCCCAGGTTTGGGGTTTGGGTTTTTGTTGGGGTTTTTTGTTTGGGGTTTTTTTTTTGTTGTTTTTACATTATAGAAGATTTAGGATCTTCCTTCACTCTTCAGCTATAAGAGAAGGAGGCTGCTCTAAGCCCCTCGGTGGACAGAGGCGAGGGATGTCTGCGTGGCACTTCCCTGGAGAACGAACACCATCAATTGCAATAACTGAAAGCACAGGAAACATCTACAACTAACAGGGAGGGCTCTGCAGTCAGCAAACATGTCATTTTTGTTGTTTCTCTGTATCTACGAACGATTAAGGAAGATCAAGATTCTTTTTTTCATTGATAGGCTCCTTTTGTCCTTGTGCATCTGCTGGCTGGAAGACATCCAGTGAATATCAACACTTATTTGAGCAGCATTAATGATGGAGAAGCTAAAGCCAGAGTGACAGAAAAATTAGGTACCACATTTTTATACATTCTCCTTAAAAATCATTATGTGGCTGACTCCAGAAAGATTAAAAAATTGCAGGGAAGGACTTCAACATGGTATAATGTTATATATGATGTACGCTCCCCCAACATGTTTCAGATTGCAGCATGCTATAGATTTGAAATATATAAACGAAAGCAAAACAAGTAACAAACTAAAATAAAAAAAATGTTGCTCTATCACGTTAGTACAACCCTATGTAAAAATCTTACTGACTCTAAATTAGAGACTGGACAAGTGAGCAGTATTCAGTACCTGAGAGGCAGTCAAATAACATATCTATGTAAAAACACTTATTTTTTGTAAGTGAAATGTCCCTTTCAGTACGCTTAAAGTAAAATGCCACATTTTCAATGACGACCCAGTGGTACTTAAATACAATAATGAACATCACAGCAAAACTTCAGGATGACTTAGGACAACCTGGACTCCCAATTCACAGACACCAACTTTCAGAACACAACCAGAAGGAGAAAGTTTGGGAAAAAGACACATTTTTCTCACCGGGAAACCTAGGCTAAACTAATAATCCGTTCCCATTAAGTCAATGTTTTTTGCTTCCAACTTGAATAGGAACATGATTAAAAGGACTACATAGAAAGAATAAATGAAATCCTGATTAAAAACTGTTTTATTCAAACCACTTTGTACTAAAAACCCTTCAAACCAGAAAATAAACATTGTCACAGCACAATGGTTTCAAAAGAGAATGTAAAAAATAAATATATGTAACCCTCATTGCTGCATTATATAAACTGCCCTGTATGGCACTATAGACTACTAGTGCAACTTCATAATTTTTACAGAAAAATTGTATTTCAAATTAAGTTTGTTTTCAAACACTTAATTTTTCATGTATATAATTTAAATTTGCCAAATTTATTACAAAAAATAATCTTAAAATGGCTGTAAATTATTTAGAGTGACTTTTTTGGTGTTAAGCTTCCTAGTTCAGTCGAAGAACTTACTGAAGTTGTCATATGCTACTATGGTGTCAAATTCTGCCCTAAGATCTGCACACGCATATGCCTAAAAAACTGAACCGCTAAGTCTGACAATTTGAAAACTGGATTGGAAGATGGTATGCTTGCAGCCTCAATTAATTCCCCATAACATGTGTATGTGACTATAGGTCCCTCAGCGTCAAGCTGGGGTTTTTTTAGAGGAGTTCAAGCCCAGGTAAGGAAAGATTAGCATGTAATTAGCTGCAAAGCCACAGATCTTCAGGCAACCTAGTTAAACCTGAATTGCTGACAGCCCTTAGCTAAGACAGCTTGTACAGAAGTCTGTGTGCTGCAGATATGTAAGCAATAGGAAGTGGTTGTCTGACTGCATGAATTTTACACACCTTCTAGCTCTCTAACTGGTCCGAATGCTACGTCTAGTGCTCAGAGGCCTCTTGCATAAAAGACACGATCCACAGAATTAAGGATTTCACTCATTCATCTATGTAATTTTACACGTTCATTAGATCACCAAACAGTTGTATTCTTCATTAATGAATCATGCCAGACCACGATATGTTTGTCATCTCTATGAACAGTTGCACTCTTATTACAACTACAGTTGGGAATAAATCGTGTACTGGCCCGTGGCTTGTTATGAGTTTCCAGCAGCGGCATGTTTGTTGGAGAGAGATAGACTGAGCCTCACTGTAATTTTCTACAAACCAGTATCAAGCCAAAGAGCCACAGGAAAACATATTCTTACCAGTCTGAGGGAAGCCTAACTGCTTTTTCACCGTCAGGTGAAACTGAGTTAGTTCCCTTTTCCTCCTTCAATCAATAAACATGTAACTCACTCATAATAAATGGGAATACTCATGCGAGTAAAGGCATCCATGTGACTGTAGGATTAGACCGTACGTAAAAAACAATGGCTTTGGTGACATGTTAATATACTTACTAGCACATATTTTCACATAGAAAATTCAATCTAGATTATTGTATACGAGCTATAAATTCTGTTTATAAAAGCACAGTGATATGGACACATTTAAAGTGTGTGGAAAGTACTTTGAAACAGATTCGAAGATTCAGGAGAAAACAACATATACATTTGCTTTTTTTCTTAGATATGACATGCAAAATAAAATCTACCTTTTAATTTTGGTATTACTTGAGATAAAAATAAAAGGTAGAACTGACTTCTTACTGAACACCAATGTAAATGCAAGGGCAATGGAAAACAGAACAGAAAAAAAAATGGGTAACAGAACATCGCAAAAGAAAAAAGGCACTGTACAAGTAATCACTAGCTAATATTAATTAATGTTATGATGACAGTGAAAGGAGTAGGTTTACTAACTTACCCTCATCTTTGCACATGCATCCTGTGTCGACTCTGTGCCTCTTAATTCCTTTACCAGCATAGAGCCTAAATACTAAAATAAAAATCCATTAAACTTAAAATTTAACTGAAATTCCAGAACAAACATCTGCAGAAATGCACTAAAAATGCATAAAAAACCATAGTGGTAGCAATCAACTTAGTATATGGTTTTAGAGTTTTTTTTTAACTCTGCAGTCCTCTGATAAATCATTTAAACCAGCATGCTAACCTACGAAACAGGAATGCACAGCAACAAGTGTAATGAAGCAGATAGAGCCCTTTGAAACGGTATCTGAAAGTCTTCTAGTGTATCACCTTAGCCACTCCAACAACAAGCAAATACTACAGATTCCATCTTAAAAATGCCATTTGATTAAAAAACGGAGAATCTGCTTTTTTTTTAGCTGCCATCTGCCAAATTCATATTGCTATGTGTGCAATCACATGGACGTGAAGGGCAGCAGTGATGTTAACCTCTCTGTACTCAATCTGTAGCTAATTTATGTGCAGATAGCAGAGCCCAATACCAGCAAACCGAGAAAACAAATCTGAACCGAAAACTAGTTTAAACCATTACTTCTTCCTAAGAAAAGGCTGACCCTGAACTATTATTCTGAAGCCTTTACTGGATCTGAAGGAGGGCTGGGTGAGAGGGAGCAGCAGGATGCTGGTGCTGGGTCCTGGCTCAGCTCGCTGAAAGCCACCGTGCTCTCAGAGGAGCCTGCTCCTCTCCAAGGGTCCAAAGACACCAAGTGCCTTCCCGACATGTCCCCTTTCCTACCTGCCTCTTCCTCACCATGTCACTTGCTGGCATGTGCAGCCTGAGCCCTCCTGCACCCTGGCAGCAGGCTCTGCACCTCTGGATTTGCTCCTCTGGGGTCTCAGGACCTGTCTGCACCAGGTCTGGATGGCGCTGCTCCTCCAGAGATGGAGCGGGCTGCACCATCCCCGCCAGTCGTGCCGAGCAGCCAGTGCTCTTGTGACGGCTAACAGGGTTGTGTGAGAGCCGTGCTCTGCACTTCCCCTATAGACACTATAGGCGTGTGCATTTGTGGATGTGCACGTTTGCGTGGCTCTGTGCAAACAGGATGTTTCTGTATTTCTATATAGTGTCACATGCAAGTCCGGCTTAACTGGGGGAAGAGGACAGCAAGCTGCCCTCCCAGGCACCGAGGTGTCTCTCTTGGCACTCTCGCCGCAGCACAATGCCATGGCTTCTTCTCAGTCTCGAGTCCTAAGTGAGCAACAGGGGACTGAAAAGAAGTCACGCCGGTGGTGGGAACAGGGTAGGCGAGCTGCAGGAGGAGAGAAAGCACCGTGGGCAGGAGCCTCTTCCTCAGCCCACCACCGCTGCCTGACCCCTTTCACTCTACCACACTGACTCCCCTTGGAAACAGCCTAAGCTGACCAAACCAGATACTGAACCAGCTCCAGCTTGAACAAGAACCTATCAAAAGTAACTTCAGTTACAGCTGAACACAAGCTGGAACTGAAAAGAAAGTGTACTGGTTCAACTCTCTGGTCTCTTGACCTAACTGAGGTATTTTCTTTACAGTCTTCACATCACACTGTGTACCACAGGAGTCTCTGACCTGAAGGAAAATGCACAAACATTTCAATGTGGACAGTAGCCAACATGGTAATTAGTGAGAAATACTTTACCGGGCATTATAAACACAAGGGTGAGCAACACCAACACTACCAGATAAACACAAGCAGAAAGGAACAAATGAAGGGCATTCCTGGAGGACTGCAGATGTGAAAGATTCATAAACCAAGCAGCTGCGAGTCCAGCTGGGGGCTTGATGGTGACATGAATAAGGCTTTGGGCATTAATTTGATGGGACGGCTTGGTATCGCCCTTGCAGAAGAACAAGGAATTTAAAGCAAGCTCTGACATTAGAGAATTAAACAAAAGCATATTGAGTTGAACTGTATCTCTCTGAATCCTGCTGTCTGACACCTTTGGCATCCTTAGCCTTCTCTGGGAAGGATGCAATCCATTTCTTCAATTTTGTTATTCCATTTTTTTTAATAGACTATGGCAAAACAAATTAGTATTTCCTTGAAAGCTACCAGTTGGTCAGGCATAAGGGAATAAAAGCAATGCTTTTGAGCTCATGGCAGAGCAAGAGGAAGAAAGAGAAGAGACAGGCAGCTCCTGTCCCATCTGCACAGCAGCAAAAAGCCTCAGCTGCAGGCATTCACAAATGCTTCCCAGCGTGGACTGTGGAACAGACGAGCAAATCACAGAGGTCCTGCCCAATTTAGTTGTCAGAAAAATCTGAAATCCTAGGAGGGAATTTTGCTTTTCTTTGACTTGCTGTACGTTTAGAAATGTTCCTTCTCAAAGACCCAGAGCATGTGGGAGCAATGCAGAGGACATGCAACAGTTCAACTGAGTGATGTGGCGTACAATGAAAGCTGCCCCTCTTATAACTTCCAAGCCAGGGTTTTACTCCGTAAGGCTGAGGTCATTATAGCTCGGGGAACAGAGACACTGCAGTGATGCACGATCCTTAGAAAAGGAAGATGTTCCCTTAATCAACAATAACTTGGATATTTTGATTTGGTGATTCCTTAGTCACCAGTAACTTGGATATTCCTGGTCATCCGAATTTAATTTCTTTAATGATCCACACACCTTCCAATCTACTACAAAGATTACATCCGATTATGAATTGACTCTGGATCAAGTAATGAGATAACAGGCACTCTTGAGATAAACCTGTTCGCTTTACTGAACACTATGAAAAATATATAAAGAGCTCGAAGTCACTAAGCTTCCTTTTCAATTTGAGTGCTGCACAGGAGGAGAGCAAGACTGAGAGCAGGCGAGCTGGACCTTGACACTGACTTGCTGAGGAAGGCAGAGGTTCTAGTTACTGTCCAGGGACAATCACTGCGTTCATGGCAACTTCTGCCCCATGAAGGTCTGATGGAAGATTCAGATGTGGTCCTGCCCCTCCTCAGTGGGAGCCATGCTCACCTGCACTTAGTCTCTAATTACTTTCCGGATACGCTTTAAATCAGGCTCAGCAGCCCCAAACTCTCCCTTCAAATGCTCCAGTGTTTGGTGAAAAGAGGATTATCCTAAAAAGCACTTAAAGATCCAAGCTCCTTCAGGTGAAGAGGATCAAAAACTCATGTCCTGGACAAGTGGTTAACCTCCAGCTATTATGCTAAAGGCACTACAGCTAAGCTCCTTTTGTTCATAAAATAAGTCAGCCTTGCTTCATTAGGTGGCCACCTCCAAAGAGGACAGAGTTGTCTGGGCAGCACCTTCAGCAATTTTAATGGTGCCTTTCAGCAAAGTCATAAGGGGAAATGTAAGAGTTTAAATAGGTGAGCTGAGGCACATCTTCAGCCCCCCACTCCATAGATGGGGAACTCAAGGCTTCAGAAAAGCATTTTTTATTTAAAAAACAAAGCCTTCCAATAGTACTTCCTGTACTTCAGGAGACCTTCCTCTCCTTCACAAGCGTTTATAACAGCCAGAGGACACTAATCAACTTCAGCGGTAGAGGGAAGCTCTGTTTCTCCAGGGATGGGAAGTGGGAATCAGCCACAGCTATCGGGAAGTAAAAATATATATTGCCTGTCCTGAAGGAACTGACTGCTACTGGTCGTTCAAGTAGTCATCAGTTTGGGAGAGATTTGCATGTGCCCTTGTCCCATGGATGGAAAACACTACTTCAGGATGCTGATCTCCACCTTCCATAGCTACTTCCCCAAAAACAGGTATAAAATTCAAGCAAGGCAACACTTATTTAACTACTGTGCACACAGCATTAAGGTAGGCATCAGCATCCCACATAATGTTTTACTATTTTTCCATAAGTACTAGATAGGGATTTGTGACAGATGAGAAGCTGTGGTGTTTGCGCTCACTGTCACTTCCTACAACACTTAGCCACTTATTCACAGTGTCATTTCTTGAGCACTATTGCTACATGCACTGCAATATATCACAAAATTCATAGCAGAAAGTACTGTGCATCCTTGTTTCTCATATATTACAATTACAGTGTTTCAGAGGAAGTGGCCTGTCTCATTAAAAGTGACTGAAAAAATACTGTAAGTGAAAAAAACCAACAGTCTATCAAAATCTAAGATCAATATATCTACCGCAAATCAAACCACTAAATTTATCAACACTTACAAATGCTTTATAATCGCATGACTGGAAGATGAGCTTCTCTGGATGATGTTGCCAATATTGTACAGGTGTTGATGCTGTGGCTTCATTTGGAGGTCGCAAGGTAATTGAAGGCTCTCCCCAGTCTCCCGTCTGAAAATCACAGTTGTTCGAGATATAAGAGAAGTTCCAAGCAAATTCGCTACAAAGCAGCCCTCCATTGTTGTGCTCAATTAACAATAATTTATTTTCCACACATACAGCCATGTTACTAAAATAAGGGAATACAACTCCTACAATATTTTTTGTGATTTAATTATTAATCCAGAGTCATTTACTGTAGTGTTTAATGAGGCTTTAATTAAATCTATTTGCTTTGAGAATAAAATCATTAGGCACCGGAAATGTTCCTTAAAAATAACTGTTTACAATACCTATATGAGGATGACAGCACTTGAAATAAATCATGAGGCACAAAAATGCCATTCACAAATTCCACTATGTGTTTTACCAGCTTTTCTACACAGTTAATAAGTCTTCCATAATCCAGCACATACAACTGATAACTAACTTTCCTAAATGGCTAAATAACTGAGACTTTGCTTTGATCTGAAGACTTACTATAGATTCCTCCAATATATGAGGCATTCTTTAATCTCTTTATGAATATTTACTTTGATCACCTTCTCTTGATGTCTCGTTGTAGAATTACTAAAGTTGCCCTTCCACATTCATCATTCTCATTGATACAGGTGATTTGCCTTCCTGAGCTGTCATCTTCCCTCTTTCCTCAAAGCCCTCAGAGAACATGGGTGGGACTGCAGTTTGCTGCCGAATCCCTTTGCACGACACTCTTCTCCCTTCCCGAAAAGAGCCAATGCAGGCATTGGTACAGGAATGTCCCCAGCATGGCAGTGCTGTTTTGGGTCTCATCTGCCATTGCATATTTTTTGGACATGGCTTTATTGGTCCTGGATTGACCTCTGGACCCTTGGGGACTCCTTCCACCTTGCAGGCCCATGCAAAAAGATTATTATTTATTTTTTAGCTGGCATCTCCTGCTTTTGGTTCACATGTGCCCATGCTGCCCATGTCCTCAACACCAGCGATGCTGCCAAACCAGCACCAGTTCACTTGAACTGAATATGACCCATGGATGGAGTCCTGCTCCTCTTCGCAATCCCTCTTCCCTCTGTCACCACCCCACTTCTCCCCTACCCTGTCTTGGCCTGGTCTGGTCTGTCTCTGAATTCCCCTCTCCTTCCCACCCTGGCTTTTGGGGATCAGATTTCTCCTTCCTGATCCTCCTTCCTCCCCTGCTTGTTCTCTCTCAAATTATTTTACCCTCTCCTGTGTGATTATTTCAGTTTGGATTATGCTACTTCTTTCTTTACCTGCACTTATCTCTGTGTATTTTCTATGTGCGTCATATCGTTAAAATATGTGTTGAAGCTGGCAAGGAATTGTCATCAGCTTTTCACACAGAATATGGCTAGAAGTTAAGACTTTAAAAGCGAAAAGAAGTTAAGCATCAAAAACACATGAAAAAATTCTTAGCGAAGACATTCAAAAGTCTGGCAAACTATCACATCCTACTAATTAAATCAGGACAAAGTAAACAAAACAAGTACATCATTTTCATGTGTCACAAAATAATGAAATGACACACATTTGCACAACTCTGCAATGAAAAGCAAGAGATAAATCTGGAAACATCAACATTACCCTGCTGATATGGTAACTTCAAGCAAGTGAACATCATAAAACAAATTGAACCTAGTTAATGTTGGCACTATCAGCACATCTACAAGTTACACAGCATTGTAATTTCTGTTTTGCCTAGTTAAGTTGTCTGTATGCTATGGTTATGACTTCAACCTCAAATTTTGAAAGGAAAGCGGCATTAGCAATTGCTCCAATTTTTGGCATTCTGTATCCACAGAAATGAATCCTTCTGACCACTAATGTATTAAAAACCTCCATCATATTTAATCAAAGTGGGAATTTGATTTCTTTAAGAAGAAGCAGTCCTCCTTATAAAATAAGGTTTCAATCATATTACAAGGGGTTAAGGATCTGCATCCTTATTAATGGAGTTTGTATTTGGCTACAAGAGAAGATGGACTGCACCCATCACAAATTCTCAGTGTGCTCAGCTGTCTCTTATGAACTGTTCGAGGCCACAGCTAACAGACCACTTGACATAGTCCTTTTTTTCCCTAATGAAGATACACTCCTCCGTGTTCTGCGTAAGAAGGCAGATCTCAGAAGGTATATCCTCCGCATTTAGTAAAGATTATTACAATGGAACAGGAGTAAATCCGGCATAGAGAAGCTATAAAAGCTTTTGACCTCAGTGGAAAGACCAATGGAAGCACGGGGGTGGCCATGAGGTAGGAGCAGAACTACTATGGAGTAAGTAATACATCACCTTACAGTTTGAATCCCTTTTGCACGAAAGATATTAAAAGCATGGAGAACTGCATTGTTTCTGTCTGTAAATGAAGGGCAGTAACAAGAGGCACAGTGACTACCTCTCATACTGGTTCAATTTGATAAAGGAGCTGGGAAGCAATAGTGATAATAATTAGGAAATGAGAAATAATCTTCAAGCAGGCTAATAAAACTAGCGTACAAGACACAGAGAGGGACTGTGTAGAGACCATTCATTTGTATCCGTTAATTGCTCTATAAATATATACAATCATCCAAGCACCTACTCCTTTTAAATTAGACAAAACGAAATTGATAGGATTGCTGTGCATGTCTAGGATGACCTAAAGAGGCAATACAGCTGAGGTTAAGGGCACGTGGAGATAGAGGATTTCTGCTGGTCCTGACAGACCCCTGCACCTGAAGACCTTTCATGTATTTCACTGTGTCTTGGGGAGGGAGCAACTACTAAGAAAAGCTGCATAAAATTAAATATTGTAGGTATATACTATTACGATAGGCGAAGAAGACATGTTATACACAATCATAAAATTTTCTTTTGCAACTGTATCATAAGTGTTTTTAATATTCAGCAGACATGGCTTCTGGTCTCCTTTTGTTTCTTACCAAACTCCTTAGGTTTTTAAGCCATACTACTGCTAGTGTTCATCACCTATTTAGGCTGAGTTATAACAGGGTAGTCTCCAAAGCCCATACCCATGAAGACATTTAGAAGTGTAATTGCTATTACATATTCCCCATGCAACTTCCTTTTTTTTTTTTTTTTAAAGGGAAGAAACGCATTTAAACAAGATTTAGACAGCTAAATACTTTCATAAATCTGGGCCTAAAAACCTCTACAGGAAGAAAAGAAGCTCCTCAGCTGACTGACTCGAGTCAGATACTGAAATTCTGAGATTTAGGATGTGATGATGGCAATTAACTTCAGGCAAAATACAGTGTAGGAACGTCTTTGACCTAGAGAAGACTTGGAAAGACAAGTCTCAAGTCCAGAATAGAAAAATATCAATTACTAGTAGTTCTAAATCTGAGGAATTGGTGTGGACCAACTCATTGGTGATGTATTAAGATTCAGGACCTTCATAAGCACCTAAAATTCTTTCAGGCAGTATAGAAATGTTCGTAAATTGTCGTGCAGGACCAACTATCATGTTTGATTTCATTTTTAAAAACAGATATGATAGGATGAGAATTTTCTGGTTTGAATATTCAATTTGCAGTTATAAGAAATAATCAAACATTTAAGCTTATGTATTTTTAATGACACAGTATATGTATGGAGATTTTTCTCTCTCTGATGAAGTAGAAAGGCAAGAGATAATTTACTCCTCATCTAACTTTACAGCTCATCAGATAGCTGTGCAATTTAGCACATGTGTTTTGCTGTACTGCCTATGTTTTAGTATTCTAACCTCCCCATGCCTTTAACCAGTGCCCTACCTGGAGACAGAAGATTTTTTGCTCCACATTTTGCAGATAAAGAGTTTACAGTCACAAAATGGTCTCAAGTCAGGTGCCAGAGTGGTAAAGATTCAATCAATCCTTTTACAGTGACAACTTTTAACCATACAGGTCATAAAGACCAGTATCTCATGCTCTTGTAGTGCTTCATAACCCTGAAAATGGGCAAGTGTACGCTTCTCAGTGCTCTAGAAGGGGTGAGATGCTTGATGTCAAATGAGCTACGGAAGCAGGTTACTGCTGTTAGGTAATTTTTTACAGTCGTGGCACGTTTTTCTATCTAATGCCATTCTCCGAGAACTGTGTTTGACTCACATTAAAGGCACCTGGATGCAGAGGTAGTTGCGGGTAAGAAGTAATGTCAATACAACTGCTATAAAATCTAACACTCGCCTCATCTTTTTACAAAAATGTCAAGTTAAAAACCCTCCATGCTACATTAAAAAAAAAAAAGAAAAAAAGAAAAAAAGGCCTGGTTCTGAGTGGCTTGAATGTATTAGTTTTTAACAAGGATCACATCTTGCAACTTTTCACCTGTTAAAGCCTCATGCCTGGTTACGGTAACATGCATTAGTCACCATGACAACAATAAATTGGAGCACACATAGATATAATGCTTCTGGCTGAAAAATTAATAATTTTCTCCCTGTAAGAATTTTAAAGTGTTCTGCGGACCAGCTAAATTTTCATTATTTGCTTGCGTTTTAACTCCTAGAGTAAGTGAAATTTTTTTTAGCTCCTTATATCTTTGTTTTTTGAAAGAATGTAAACAGGTTTGTGGCGTACTTACATTTTAAAGGCTTCTAAAGCTCGGTGGCCAAAACGGCCCCTCTCTGGCAAAAATGCTCCAAGGAGGCAGTTACGGGACAGGAATTAGAAGGAATCTACAGCTCCTCTGAAATACTGCGCTGAATGACTGGCTGTCATCCTTAGCACGCTGCAATACGGATCACCAGGGTCGCTCTCACGTGCACGGCACATGTGACTGTCACAGCAGCGATGAAAATTCAGAGCACCATCAACGTTACCCGCTAATTCCCCAAAAAGCGCCGCCGCGAACACGGCGTGCTCCTCGGCGAGGCAAAGCCGATCGGTTAACACAGAAAAGGCAGCACAACACATCGTGGGGGCGAAACTGTGCAAACCGAGCCGTTTACACGGTTTCTCGCTTTGGAAAAGCGAGCAAGCAACAAGACCAGGAACAGAAGTCAAAGCTCCCTCCGAGCGAGACTGCTGCCGGCAATTCCCCACGCCCCGTACGTACACCATACAGCCAACGGATGCTGACCACACGGCACGACACACGAATGCGCGCACACACGATCCCAAAGGAGGGCGGACAAGTTACGAACTTCGTCATTTCAGCGACGTGACACCCGTAGATAACACCACGGCAACAGACTGTACAGCCATAGAGTGACAACATAGCCATTTATCACTGTATCTTACATTATGAACCTGATGAATCGATGAGAAAGGATATCCTGCATTCTGGCTGGTCCAGATCTCACAGACAGAGGACTGCTAATATAAACAGAAAACTACATCTCATCTTGTAAATATTAATGCACCGCAACTGCCAAAAGGCAAGAATAATTAAGAAAAAGCTTGCAACAACATTAAAGAAGGAAGTAAAACAGCTGTTAAAAGTAATTTTTTATTTATTTGCTGACAAAATATTTTTGGACTGACTGGAAGGAAACATAGCTTATTCAGAGACTTCAGAAGAGGTTTCAAACTGTGAGTACAAGAAAACAATTTAGTCAGAAGTGCTGGTGATGTAAAGCGATAAAGTTATGCAGGCATAAACAGACAATGCAGAGAGCAGAAAAAATTTGGTTACTTTCAGTTTTTGGCAGGGAAGAAGTCTGAAGTCAACATCCCAATTAAGTTTTGAGATTTGAATCTCTCTCTGTTGGAGACTTTCACAGAGAGAGAGGAAGAGAAAAATCTGGCAATATAGTCAACAGGAAAAATACATATTCCTTGTAACAATTACCAGAAAAGAATGCATTGCAATTAAATGAAGCAATTGCCCATCATCTCCTTCCAACAACAGCTCCTTTGCATACAAAGATCCAGGTAATATTACTTTTGGTATTGACCATGACTCCGCTGTATAAATGAAAGGTTTCAGCCTACCCTCTACCTTATTTTATAGATAGTCTGTAGCAGCAAAGCAAAGTAAGCGTTCTGTAGCATCTCTTAGCAAAAGCAACAGAACTAGACAAGCACAGCATTCACCAGCATCTTTTACATATTTCCTTGTTTGGACACTCATCAAGAAAGCATCTGTGACACCTCAGCAAAAGCTAAGATAACATTTTACAGTAGCCAGGCAACTAAAACAAAGCATCAGACGTAGGATCTGCCCACAGTACCTTCGGCAGGCAGCAACAAAAGGCAATAAACACGCACGAAAAATGCAACTGCAGCATCCAGACCAGACAGCAATTCATCTATCAGTAATTTAACAACAGCAAGAATGTGCATTGCTGGTTCTTGTCAGCAGCAGCAGCAGGCATTTAGCACCGATGCTCAAAACAACCCAAAGAAGTGCAACTCTCCTTAGAAATATGACTCTTGCTCTTACCTTTTGTAGCCTGAAACCTGGCTGCCTGGCTGGTGACAGGCTAGGTTATAACTCTGGTTACTGTCAGGGCACGCTGGCATCCTCTGGACTGGGTACCGAGTGCTGCCAGACAGGCTGGTGGCTGCCTAATGTTGTTAATTGTCCCTTATTTCCTTCATGATTTGAAATGCATGTGCACATATCCCTTCCCCCAGCCTCAGTAATTCTTAAGCTTTCCCGTGTCTGGTTAATGTCTTCTGCCCCATCTTGTTTTCGAGGTTATTTGTTTCTCCTTTGTGATGCACCAGGCTCTACATTTTGATAGCATTATCTAATAAAAACTTGACTTTGGTTCACTGTCTTCTACCTCATCCTCAGCAATTTTCTAGAAAACACTCCTCCATGTGAGAACACGTACGCTCGGTGCAAGGCCAGGTGCAAACACCACTCCAACTACTTCTGCTGTGCCGCTATTAGGACACTGCAGGACATTGCACTAGTTGGCATTAATGACCTTTTTTTCTGTGTGTCAAGCAAACTGACTTCTGGATGCTTCAGCCATGCCCATCACTGTAACGCCTACGGTTGTTTGCCTGGGGAGGATTCCTGAACGGGAATCCGTGGCAGGAGGTTGTGCCTCTGCTTTCCAAGACAAGAGTAAAAGCAAAGGCATTTCCATGCCAGGTGCAGCATCCCCAAGCATCTGGTGATCGAGAAAACATACTGCAGTGCTATGTGGACACACTGGCTGAGGTCCAGAAAGGAGTAAGGTAAGGCAGCACGGTACTGTACGCATTTCTCCCCAGTGCTGGCGACACTGGCGACGCTGTCATATCGTACAGCCGCTTCCCACCACCCTGGTATTCTGGAGTGAAAGGTGTACCCTTAAATCCTGCCCCTCCCGAGGACTTGCCTTCAGGGAAAGGCGTGCTGCCTCAGCCGGAT